CTAAGGCTTTGTGCAAACCGTTAACCAGCGAAGATGCAAAGGAAAGACAACCTTTTTTCAACAGACTATACAAAGCTGTAGCCTGGAAACTGGTTGCTGTTGGAGGCTTCAGTCCTAACGTAAATCACGCAGAACTTCTAAACTCATCTATTCAGTCTGTAAAAGCTACGTTAGATGTTGCTTTTGTTCCCCTGAAGGAACTTGCAGACTTGCCTCAAAATAAGAGCTCTCTAGAAAACATAGTTTGTGAACTGAGGTGCAAGTCTGTCTACTTGGGTACTGGCTGTGGTAAAAGTATGGAAAATGCCAAAGCGGTTGCTTCAAGAGAAGCTTTGAAATTATTCCTCAAGAAGAAAGTTATTGTGAAGATATGTAAAAGAAAATACAAAGGTAGTGAAATTGAAGATTTGGTACTTCTGGATGAAGAGTCAAAACCTTCGAATTTACCTCCAGCTTTAAGAAATCCTCGTGAGATCTTGTAGGGGAGAATCGCTGTTTGTACCGTGTATAGTATTTCAAGACGAGGACTAAAGGTTAATTTTGTACTTTAAAAATGTAGGCTTCCAGATATTTTGTATTTCTTTCTCAGTTTTGCAAGACAATGATAGTCCTTTCACTTGGTAGCAATTGTATAAAACTTGTTAGAGATGACAAGTGCGCATTTAAAGGTATGCCTTAATATATAGCACACTAGTGTGCTGTTTTATTTGCAAAATAGTCTACCTAATTCTTCTATTTTTAATTAAACGATTAAGGTACAATTTGCTGTTTAAAACCTGACAATTTTGTAATTCTTACAATTTGATGGCAGTGTGCTCAATTGTCTACCATCTCTTTTGTAGCCACGTAGAAGTATGTATATAGGGACCATAATACTTGAATGATTGAAAGTTGTTTAAAAATTTCAATCAAAAAGTTGATTCATCTGTTTCAGGCGTGTTGCTCATAATGTTCACTGTTGCTCATACTAGGAGAGAAAATAGTTGGTTGACTATTTTCATGGGATGTCGTAGCACTCACAATATAAATGACACCCTGATCCCATTTAACATTATACTAGCAGGTTAGATCCCATTTAACAGTATACTGGCAAATTATCAATTAGCAGTCAAGTCACAGCTACTTCAGCCACCAAAACTCTGTAAGCAGATTTAATTTATATCGTGAAATATAATTTACAGTTTTTTCAAATAAACATGGATTCTATACTAAGCATATTTTGACTGCTACTAAAACAATAAAACCTCTGGGATATGCTTTTATAGTACTTTGGGTTTGGCTATTAAATATTCCAGCCATTTCAATAACTGCAACACCTTAAGAAAAGCTTTACTTTTGAGTGGCTTCAAGGTGTAATCCCACAAGGATGGGTTGTTTTCTTTGGATGCGTAGCTGAAATACTGTAAAACTAATAGAGCGGACCTATAGAGTATCTATTTCTACTTTTGTAACACTTAACAAGATAGGCAAAATGAAGATGCTGCTGTCTCCTAGAGACAGTGAGTTATTGTGAAGTGTTCGCACTAATTGAGCCCTTCCTTTGCTACGTTTTTACACGATGTACAGAATGGTTTGAAGCAAAGAAAGTGGGAGATTACCTTTTATTTTCAATGTTACTGAAATACCTGCACAAACTGCATGTTTTGGTATGTTGGGTAATGACATGTAATTGTAAAAACATAATGTCTTCAGTGCTATTTTGAATTAATCTTGTCCGATTACAGTAGTAAGCATCATTTAATGGAGACCTTACACTTGGCTGACGGATCCATTGATCGAGAACTACAGGAGTGAATAGGAATTCCTGGGATCGCAGTAGTACATATGTCCACTTAAAGACTTCAAGTTCTTTTGTGATTTTGGGACTAAACCACAATGGCGTTGTTACACTGTACCCTATGTGATTTTGAACAGCAGTGGCTGTCCAGACCGTAGCACCTGAAGCCTGCAAGGCACTCTCGCTTCCCGATGGACGGTTGAGAACTTCCTCCATCTGATCCCTGTGCTTCTGTGCCCTCGGTCGCCCTTTGCTCCAGTTAGGTTTCTCAGGAGTTCCCCCTTGGTGTTTCTGGAGCACCACCCGACGTTCGGAACGCAATGCGTTAAATTGCGTCTTACACAGCGTAGGAATTGGTGCGTGCTTCTGGCGCAGAGCGAGTTTCATTTAGGAGTGGTGGTATTCATGCCAGGAAGCGTGAGATCTGTTTTCAAATCCTCACCCTGTTCAGATGGAAACACAGAATGACTGTTTTTGCGGGGCGGGAATTGCGTCCTGTGCCCTCTGAAGTACAGCTTTTCTAGCTGTTAGTTGGGGCTCCTCCAGATCTCTGGTTGAGAATTGCAGCATGTGTTGCCATGTGAAAACCTGTGTTTCCGTCTGTAAAGCGAAGCTCACAGTATTTACTGACCTCAAGGGGGTGTTAGGGTAACTGTGTTAAAAGGCTGAGGTGCTAGATGCCTTTTTTTAAAGTCCTGACTTAAGCTTAGGTTTTTTAGAATTTTTGAATGTTACTCCTCTTTGATGTTTGGTTGTGATTCATTAAAGGATGAGTCTGTAGCTACTCTTAATAGAAACTGAAAGTTGCAGTGTGTTATTTTTATTTCACGTTCTGCATGGAAAGCAGCTCAACAAGCAGATTCCAACATACGAGTAAATAAGCATTAAGTATTTGAATGAGAATTTATGAACATTTTATTAACCCTAAAGGAAAAAAGAAAGAATTTCAAAGAACTGGCTGTGGCAAGAAGTGTTTGTGCAGTCCTGTCAGTTCTAAAACCTCTGGATCTGCCTTCCAGGTACTGTCCTAGTCTCTAGCAATTGGGATGCTGGTCTTTAGTTGTCAGGCCTTGCTGACGAGGACTGGCTAGAACAATTGCACTAACACTGTAGCTCTGCAAAGTGGTCTTGGGGACAAATGAAACCAACCAACCGAAAGAAAAACTGACCCTGGATTTTCTGCGGGAGTACAGGAAATTCCAGTCATTAAAAATGACTCCCGTTTCCTCTGAGAGCTGCCAGAACAGCTTAAGTACGTATGGTTGGTTCCTGACGGACAGCTGCCAAGCTGGTGGCTGTTAGCCGGTGCAGGGTACATACCGCTTCGGGGGACTGTCGGTAAAAGCCCAGTTTTTCTCGCTTGCAGGGGAATGAAGTGACGCGGGGCGCTGGCCACAAGGGGGCGCTAGAGCGTGCCGCCGGCCGGGCTCCC